AAATTGTTGAATCGAACTCCCTATTCTCATACATGCCTTGCACTACCATGCCTCATTTCCTTTTCTGTTTATTTTATTTTCTAATCGTCAAAATCTCGCCTATTCGCTATTATACGTAGATCCAGTTTTCTGACAGCTGTCGGCAAGGCTATGCTTTGCTGCTAAACTCTTTCTAATAGTTGCCATGGCCTGCCTGTGAGGAATCATTTTGTTTCACTTTTATGGTTTGGAAGTACACCGTTTGAACCCTTCTTCTAAAGTTTTAGGAGTTATACTAATTTTTTTGCTTGTGCTAAAGTATCTCCTAGCTTTACTAACCTTTACCGGCAGCATTGTGCCTGCTGTATTCCGAGTATTGTCTCTGGGTCCAAAATCAGCCCCTGTTGACGGATGAATAGATTTGCATATGAATTAGCTCTTTTCGTAGGCATGCCTTCTGCAAGCGAATGCTATGGCACAAAGTTTCTTTTGTGAACATATCAATTATGATTGCATAACGTGTTGACTCTCGTCACCTGGCAATGATTGCAATCGAAATCCCTTTTTACTTCTCAATCCTTCAGAGTGGTTTATGCGTTTGGACAGCATATAAAGTACTCGGTGAGCGATGTCACTGTGACGTACCTCCGCGAGCCGGTAATTGAAACGCTGCGGGAGGTGGATGCCCGGGTGAACGCCGTGTTGTTACAGGAAAGTTGTATGAGCCGGCTTGCTCAAATACCCGTTGTGCTCATCCCAATTCACTTTGACCGTGATCCTGCCAACATGATGGCCACCTCCTCGATCCTGCGCTCAGTTGTGCTGAGACCATTCATCACTTCCGACTTCATGACAGGTCTGCCTGCTAAGCCTGGTGCCGATCTACCGCTTGAGGTGCGTGGATAAGTCTTGTGACCCAGTATTAGCACACATGGAAAAGGTTTTGCTCCTCTCCCGAACTTCAGTGTTAAGGATATCTAAGTGGTTGGATGTGTTTTTGTTTTAGGTCGTTGATAAGATGGTGAAGGCAGCCTCAGAGGTGGCTGGGATTTCGCGTGTCCTCTACGACATGACATCAAAGCCACCGGCCACGACCGAGTGGGAGTAGTTAATCCCATCTCCCCCTCTGGCAATTTGAAGATTAGGAAGACAACGCATACGCATACATTAATTCAGCATTTTTAATTACTTTAACTTTTTTGAATGACTGTGTTGATTGGGGGGGAAGAATGGCAGCGAACTTGCATTTGCGTGGTTTTGCGATGAACTTATACCTGCCGGAGTGGATGTTAGGAAAGGCGGACTTCGAGGTGGAAGTAAAGCGTTTCCTTCTACTAAGTATGTTGAAATTTGTTTGGCGGGTCTGATGAGTGATAGACTTGGGTAGGTAATTTGCCAACGCGACATGGGGCAAGGTCAGACCAGTCGTTTTGTTCATTCAAAGTCAGACAGGGTCGAGGTCGCAGTGGTTAGGTGTCGACACAGGTGGAGCCATGGTCATGTGCACTATTGCTTGGGTAGGCAAAATCTTGCGTCAACAAGTCAGAGATGTCATTCTTGTAGACGCTCGCTACCATTGGATCTGAATGCGGGCAACGTCCACTTCGGATGGTAAGCAGTGTGCCGTCTCGACGTTCCAGTCATCCGTTTGTCCTGCACGTCATTGCGATTGGTTCATTAATTGCGTTTGTCTGCAATAGTGATCATCAAAATGCTTTTGATAAGATGTCGGTGTTTTCTGCGTCCGAATACCAGGCCACGTGTTGAGGTAGCACTGGAAACGCACACACGCACACCTACACAAACACGGATACAACGATGCATCAGGCAGTCAGCTGGCACGCACTCAGCGTAACCAGCTTGTCGCTGATTGGTCAGTGCAACGCGTACACTACGAAGTTGTTGGACGATTCGACTGGCGCACGAAATGCTGAAGTCTAGGGCACAAACACACACGGGTTCTCCAATTGCAATTGCAAATGCGAAAGACACTCAATTGAAGAGGTGAACTCCGACTATGCGCCTTCATTAGCAGCGAAATAGATGCAAGTAAAGGGCACTAAATTTGCCTTCGGTGAGTTCATGTCGTGCGTTCAATTTTTTGCCAAACTGGATGTTTACTAACAAGTTATTAATGCATGCGGTAACTGCTCTTCAAGTGTTTCATGGTTTCTTGATCTATTTAGCGCATGCAATCGTTTTGCGGCGTTGTTTTTTTTTAACCGATTCATACGTATATGAAACTCGTTTGAAAGGATATAGTGCACTAATAATGTATGAATTTGCATTGACACTTGCATAATTTGTGAACTTCTTATTTGATACGCCAATTTTGTGTCAAATAATTTGTAAGGGATTTTTGGCACGTATCTGGGAATCAGGCAATGAGCAAAAGTAAATACGTATGTTAGAATTTGTTAATTTTAAAACATCTTGATTTCGATGGTAGATTGAGGGAGTGCTCGTGAGCGTTGCTGCCTGGTTTAGATTTTCTTGTGCAGTTTACGTTTTGCTTGACAAATGGGGATCCTTGAGGCAATTTCTTTTTAATGCTATCCCAAGAATCAGCGTCTTTCGACGAATCAGTCATTTCTGTGTATCTTCAATAGGAGGTCGGCAAAAGGTTACTCTACTGCATACTTCATTTGTGTTGAATATTGTCCCCGGAAGTGAAATGTCGTAATTGTTTTGGTTTGGTTCTGACGGAAGACAAGTGTATAAAATATGCGCATATTCACTAGTATAAACTCTTCAGTCCACTGGCTGGATGCCTGGGAATGTTGGTCGTGATTAATTAATTCTTCCAACATACACACACACACACACCATTTCAAAGACCTACAACAAATGCTTCTACATTACTCACAGATAAAGTTAGAGTAATTTTTCTATCAGAGTTTAACTGTTCTCTTCTATACGGTGAAACCAGAGGGTCCCTGTTGAGAACCACTGGGGAAGCAATTAAATCCAACGAGGACCTGTCACTTGTTGTCGAGCTTTACTGAGCTAGACTAATTCTAGCAAATGTTTACACCACGACCAAACAAGACTACATAACCTCTGCATCCTCCACCCATCGCATCCACCACCAACACAAATCTAGGAAAGGTCAATGGGAACCAGGGCTGTGTACTGCATATTCAAACAAATCCACCTATTTGGCAGAATTTTGGAAAGTCACTATCTGGTAGGCAACGCCTCGTGAAATTGTAAATCAAACTTTTCCTTTCCTTTTCCTCCTGTCGGACCAAAGTCCATCTCATTTAAAAGGCACTTCACACAGAAAGTTGTAGTTGTCTCTGATGGAGACCATCAAAGTGTTGCAAATAAATTACCTTCCCCGGTTGGAATTGAGGACCTCGTCATTCTCTTTCGCCCCTCTCACCTCCCCTATTGTTATTCTTTGCGACATCCACATCTTTGTTTCCATGTGTGCTACCAATGTCGAATTTTCTAGTACACCATGGCTACACTCAACATATCCGAGGCAAGATCTAATCCGACGGGTGAT